CGGGCGACGGGGAGGGGGCGAACCCGACGGCCCGGCCCTAATCGGATCAGACCTAATCCGCCCGCAGGGAGACCGCTCGCCAGCTCCCGCCCAGCCGGCCGGGCGCGCTGCGGGGAAGGGGCGCGACCCCAGCACCGCGGCGCTGCGCCTTCCCGTTTGGCTTACTTGCGGCGCCCTAGCTAGCGGCCTCTCACTCTGGTCCTTTTCTAACTCCCCCAATGCACCGAACTCCCGGTGATCTGGGCCCCAAAGCGCAAGTGTCTGGCCGGGCCAGGGAGGCCTGGCATAAGGACGCGGGCCACGCGTCATTCTGGGATCCCGGTTTCCCGATCCCGGGGTGTTCCCGGGCCATGCCCTCGCGGCCCTGTTAGGTGGGGAGACAGTTGCGGTCTTGTCACCTAGGTTAGCCCCTGCAGATCAACTGTGTTCGCCTCTTGATGTGCTGTGAACCCATACGATGACGTCTGGGCCTCAGCCTGAGGAGATGGGGGCAGCTCTGGTATTTGAGAGAAGCTCGCATTCTGCCGTGAAGAGGCTAAATATGCGACCAAGATGGAGATTCCACCTCCTGATGCGGCTGCGTTGGTTCAAAGCCTGTTTCTCCGATAAGAACTACGGCTGCTACCTGGTGCCCCCTACCCTCCAGGGCTGCCTGGGAAACGCTTTACACCAGAAAACTCCGTTGCTATCACCCTGGCTTCTGAGCCTCTTTGGCCAAGACCATTCAGACATGTGCGCCCTGGTCAGTGCCAGGCACGGAGGGAGGCCTGACGGCCCGCTGGAGCCGGCAGGGGGCCCCAGTGAAGGTATAGGGAGCGCCCACACCCACCTCAGAACAAGAGGGGCTCACGTGCGGGCTCTTCGCGCCGCCTTCAGAGACAGTGAAACAGCGTGAGCTTTGCAGCAGCACGCTTCGGCTCTCCAGCCCATCTCCACTGGCCAGTCCACAGTTTATCTCCGGCACCTGTACTCCGTGAGGTCTCTGTGTTCCTCTGCCTCTCCGCTTCCTCTGTTCTTGGGTGGTTATCAGGGTGGACTTCGGATGTGCTGACCTCCTGAGCTGCGTGGGTGGGCCTCAAGGACAGGTCCCAGGCCCATGTTCTCAGGAGGTCAGGATGGCGGGCCTTCTGCCTAGGTTAAACTCTGCCCCGGCTTACGTTTCTCACCTTTAGTATGTTTTTTTAATCATCACTTCTGTATGTGGTACTAGGTGCTGACTACATCCCCAGCTTTTTTTTTCTTTGCAGTACTGGGGATCACCATCTATCCTGCTAGGGATTCTTGCTAAACTGTCCGGTCTGCGTTCGAATTTGTTAGTCCTCTTACTTCAGCCTCCCAGAGTGCTGGGATGGCCGGTGTGCGCCACCGTGCCTGGCTAGCCCCAGGTTTTTGTTTTGGTTTTGTTTTTGTTTTTTTGAGACAGGGTCTTGATAAGTTGCTCATGCGCTCATCGCTCCCTCCACAGCAGCTGGGATTACAGGCATGTACCACCAAGCTGGGCTCAATTTTTGAATTGGTAAAGCTGAAATATCTCCATCCTCAGCCATCTTCTTCCCTTCCCTAGGGGCAAATTGTTACCACTTTCATTTTGTTTGGGTTTTGGCTTTTCTTTGGGGGGGCGTAGGGGTAGTGCTGGCAACCAAACCCATAGCCTTGTGTAGGCAAGTGTTCCACCACTGAGCTGCACTCCCGAAGTGGGGAGTTTAAATAAAGTTACCAGTCTTGTCACTCTGCTCCTCCCTAGTGCGTGTCACCAGGGGTTTCAGGACTAAGCGTAGCACACCTGGCTGGGTGACACCCACAGAGCAGGCCGCGGAGTCCTGGAGAGAGCAGGATTTGGAGTCAGAACACTATGCCCCTGGGGATCAGTAACCTGAGTCTCCTGACAGTGTTGAGCCCTATGGGAAGTCAATGCGTTTTTTCCTGGGCACAGTGGAGACAGGCTGAAGAGAACGAAGACTCGAGGACTATCACATGCGACGGACCTGTCTACAGCTTACACCCAAGGCCCCTCCACTTGCATCGTGTCCACCTGGGCACCAGGGCTGTCTTGCGTGGCAGTGGCTCCCTGGGCCTGTTTCCTGCTGGGCTTGGCATCCCGCCACTGGAGCCAAGGCCCACTGAGCACCATGACTGTGGCGGCTGCCTGCAGCCTCCGTTGCGCAGCGAGCCACTGGCTTCACGGGGGAGCGGGCAGGAGACACTCCAGGTGCTGTGAGGGAGCGTGCCTTGACCCGGACAGGCAACCTGCGGCTCCTGGCTTTAAATCCTCAGTATTAACTCTAATTTGCCTTATTTTTTCACAATTGTACTACAGATTGCTTACTGGTTTTATCTGCAAACTGACAGATTTAGCAATGTCATGCAAGGTCATGCTAATGAAGTGCTAAGGCCAGGACTTGAACCAAGATTCTGCTTCCAAACCTTTCATTTTCCTCCCTGCCTCTTGAGTCTCAGAAGGGGGAAATCATATGCAGAAGTAGGGCATCAATGCAAACCCTGTTCCCTCCTCTCCCCATACAAGTGCCCCACTTTCACTTGGACATTTAAGAGTTAATGCAATAAGCCAGGCACGGTGGTGCATGCCTGTAATTCCAGCATGTGGGAGAGCGAGGCGGGAACGTTGCCAGGAGTTGCCCAGACTGGGCAACATAGTGAGTTCAAGGCCAGCCTGAACTACATAGTGAGACTCTCAAAGCAAAAAGAAAAAAAGTTAACGCAATGATCTCCTAATAGGGAGTTTAACAAGGCTGTGGGACAGCTGGCTCTGTGAGTGCTTTGGGGTGGGCTGTCGGGAACAGGCCTACTTACACCATTCTCAGGAAAGGAAGACTGGGACCAAGCTCTTCGTACTGACCACAGCTTCCTGACTGCAGAGAGCTCTGGATTCCCAGTTGAACAAGTGGTGCTCCCACCGCAGAAAAGGACATCACAGCATGAAAGTGGTCATCTTGTTTAAGCACTAGGATTGTCACCACATTGGAAAGGTCTCCTGAATGACGAATCCTCACCCCAAAACCCAGCCAGACGGAGAAAGCCACAATTTAACAACCAGCCATCAGAGTCTCAGAGGTGGAGCAACTTGATAGTCTGCCTAAGAGACCTGCTGCCTCAGCAGGTGACCTAAGCACTTCTCAGGGCCCCTGCAGCAACTGCGGAGTAAGCTGACCGGAGCAAAGGATGCCACAGCTCTGACGGCCATGAGGAACCTGTCAAGTGTCAGGGATAGGCTGGCTACAGAAACTCACCCATGAGAATTACCATGCTTCAGTGCTGTTGCTGCTCTAGCCTTCCATACCGTCTGGTAACAGCACATTAGGCGGCAGATGGCCACAGCACCAGAGTGGGGTGTTTTCCCGTCCCTCGGCTGTGGTCACTGTACTGTAGTAAGGCATAGCTCTTTTACTGAGGCCCAAGGGGAGGTGGCGACATCTCCCTCCGAGGGTAAGGTCACTCCACACCCCACAGCTAGCTGCTTTCCCTGGAGGTGCAAGGCCTCAGGAAAGGCCTCTAGGGTCAGTAGTAAAGACGGCTCCATAAACACAGTGGTACACATCCCAGCTACTAGGGAGGCCGAGGCAGGATTGCCAGTTTGAAGCCAGCCTGGGCAACCCTACCATGACTGTCTTAAACGAAAAGGGATGGTGTCATAGCTCATTGCAAAGTCTCCAGGTTTGTTCTCCAGTCCTGTGAGGCAGTAGGCATGCAGTGGCGGTTTCTGCAAGGCAGGCCAGGGGCAGAAGAGAAGGATCGGACAAGAACCTTTTACTGAGTTCCTTGTGAGAACCAAAACAGACCAGTGTGGACCAAGGTAGTGGTAACCAGCTCTGGAACGTCAGCTTGGGGGTGATTCATTCAACTCCCCCCGCCTTTTTTTTGGTACTGGGAATCGAACTCAGGACCTTGTGCTTGCTGGGCAGGCACTTGCGCCACTGAGCTAAATCCCCGGCCCTCCGCCTCCCTTTAGGCAGTGTGTGTGACATTCTTAATGCTGTCCCAAGTTCAGGGTCATGGCCAGATTGGTGGCATGCCTAGAAATAAGCCACAGAGGAAGAAGCTCTAACGTGAGACCCAGGACATGGAGGAAGGTGACACGTCCTGTGCAGATTCAGCTATGCACCCCACTCTTAAGATGGCCTGGAGTGAACACAGCTGCGCATGTGCGCTGGCCGGCTACAGCGCTGCCCTAGAGCCACACTTCAGGGAGGAGCGGGGTCCCATCTTCTGACAGTGTCTTCTGCGGCTCACTGCACCATGGCGTCTCCTAACAGTGCCTGCAAAGAGTTTGTGTTCAGGAGCTGTCTATATGTGTTGAGTTCACAGAACTTTCTGCCCTCAAGGTGTGCTTAAATTGTACCTGGACATTGCGGGACTATTCCTCTTTTTGGGGGTGCCAGGACATTGGCCACGTTTTCTGGAGAACTTCACTCATCATTCTTCACTTTGAGGCAACAGAACAGCGGCGAGGCACCCTCGATCTTGTGTTCCCAAGGCATTACGCAAAGAGAGGGTCTGGCGAACCTGGGTCATGGACTTTCAACTGCTAAGACGTGGTGGGGCGGATCCTTAAGTTCTTCACAGGATTTACAAGACCAGGGTATGAATGCAGAACGGGACCAGAATCCAGAAACGGTATTTCATTTATTCATTTGCTCCAATTTCTCAAAACTCCCTCCCCTCATTTTTCCAAAATAACACCACACTGAGAAAGATGTTTGTACAAAAACCACTTATTATTCCCCCCCTCACAAAACTGGGTGGCTGTATTACAGGAATGAAACCAGATTAAAGACACAGAAAGAAAATGTCATCACTTATTCTAAAACACAGCAGTATTGAATTCAGGTATTTTGCAGATTACTAGCATAGTAAAAATATTTCCACCTGGATCTTTTAAATTTGAAAGTGATCACATTAAAGACCTGAGGTTACAAGGGACCACAGTAAGAACCAGAATTGTATTTTCTTTCTAGGACTCCAGGGGAGAAGGTAAGTATTTGGAATGAGTTTCCTTTGGGAAAGACCGGAGGGAAGTAGGGAAAACCCTGGCCATTGCTGAAAGGCACTGGCGTCTTTCTGGAAGCAACTACACTGGAAGCAGACTCCAGTAGGAACTAGCTCATTTCCATTTCCACCCCAAGTCCAGAACGAACATGCAAAGGGAACAGGGTCTCCTTGGTTCCAACATTCCAGTACTCTGATGCTGACCACGGCCACCTGGTTTGAGACAAACCTGAGGGTCTAAAGGCAAATCTCAATTGTGGTTTTATTTTTGCTTTCTGATATTAAGGGAAAAAGTTCTAAGGTGTTTTACAAACACCTCTCTACACCCTCTCATATGTAAAGCTTTAGAAAATATATAGAAAAAGGTACCCAAAAGATGTTCTACCTTGCACTCTACGTAACACAACAGCCACTTGAGAATGGGACGTGAAGAAGCAGGAGCTCCGGAAACCACACCCTCTCACTGATCAGAGGACAGAGGGAGCTGGAAGGAGGACACGACACAAAACTAAGAGCTCTCAAGTCACTCATCAGCAGGGGTAGGTACGGGCTCAATTAAGGCATTTTTTTGTGGCTCTTCTTTTAGAATGGCACCCCGCCCTCCCAGCCCGAGTACTCCAGACATTAAAGCATGATGCTGTGGAACCGAGGTCCCTGTACCCTCAGCATCTCCACCCCGACAGATGCGATGTGAGACTGCAGACAGGCCTAGCAGAAGGTGTGAGAGGCTGGTAATTCTGCCTCACTCTTCTAATCCCACCCTGAACCTAAAGTACCGCTTCATGAATTCCACCCACCCTGGCTATATTGTAAGAGGTAGTTTGGGGACTTGACCCCCAGACATCCTAACGAAGTTCCATGAGCTAAACTGTTTAACACTATCTACTTTTTTTTAAAAATTTTATTTTGAAAAAATTTTTTTAAGAAGGTGAAAAAAGCAGGCATGCAAAGCAGGGTAGACTGACCTGGGGAGGGAGTCACTGCCTTAGTCTCCTTAAACTTTCCTGGCTCGTCTATGGAGCCTAGGAAAGACTCCCCAAATCCAGCCCTCAAAAAAACCACCACCCACCCCCAACCCAGCAAATCATCTGCATAGAAAACGGGAACCGCGGGCCTGAGGCGGAGTGCCTGTGTTCTCGTGTTTGTGCTCTCTTCTACTGTGTACCAGTTACAAGGGTGTTTTGCCAGGCTGGGCAGAGGCCTCCCAGGAAACAGCAGTCAGTGGGGTACCCGCTTCCCATCTCCTCAGTCTGCTGCACTGATGTGTGGCCAAAATCTCAGGAAACTTCACCAGCAGCACCACTCTTAGCTCAGATAAGCAGAAATAAGGTCACTTATAATGCCTTAAGGTGTGTCCCCTGTGGCTGTATCTTTCTGCCATCACCATTTTTTGGTTCCTATTAACTTAGGATGCTCTCCTTTAAAACAATCATAACATAAAAAAGATAATAATTATAGGGGATTATCCATAGAAGCATAAGACAAAGCAAAAAACAGGAGGAGAGCAAAAATCGACACTGAATACTAATATTGTTGACAGGACCTGCCGATAAACTGCCAAGACCACCCCACACCGGGACAGGACGGGACGGGGCGGGGCTGGGAGCACAGGCTGATGTGAGGACATCCACACCACACTGTCATCACAGGCGTCCCACTGAGCACAGGATGTGTCAGAGCATGGAGAGGGGTCAAGAGGAGTGGGGAGACACAAGATGTGCACCGGGGCTGTGAAAATGAAATCCTGAAAGAAACCCGAGGTGGCCGAGGAGCTCAAGTCCCGTCACCCCCATTCCAGCTTGTGGCGGTGGGCGTGGAGGTTTCCCGCCTCTTCTGGCTAAGGAGTGGCAGAGGCCGGCGGGCCTGCAGCAGGTGGGGGAGGGACGCCATCTGTCGGTGGTGGCGGCGGTGGCTGCTGTGGTGGAGGGGGATCTGCAATACATACAAGGGGAGCTTGTCATTGATGATTGATGTGTGTGTGTGTGTGTGTGTGTGTGTGTGTGTGTGTGTGTAACAACACAGCAAGTACTTTCCTTGGAGGCAGGCAGGCAGTGCAGCTGGTGGGCTGCTGCCACTGTGGCCCACGTGGGCACACACTGGGAGCTCCTGGACACTGCGTGCGTTGCTCACCCTCACCCAGTCATGGGGAAATGGATGGTGCCTGAACTTGCCCACTCTCTTTCAAGGCCCATTCCTTCCCAGAATCACTCCATGCTCTTTTTCACAACTCCATGGTATTCTGACTTTATTCTACTTTAATGGTTCCCTTTACTAAGCTGTGGTCCTGAGGATTGAACCCAGGGCATCTGCACTGAGCAATATTCTCAGTCCTTTAAAAAAGAAATTTCTGAGCTGGGTGTGGTGGTGCATACCTGTAATACCTGTCTCAAAAAAACAAAACAAAAATTTCTCTTTTTGTAGACAGGGTCTTGTTAAGTCACTAAACAGCTGGAGTCGAATTTGTGGCTCTCCTGCCTCAGCCTCCCAGAGCCTCCCCATAGGAAACTGGCATATGCTACCATACGAGCTCCCTTTACTAATTTTGTTTCTTCAGTTAAATAAGCAGCTCCTCTCTGGCCAAAGACTGTCTTCTGCTGCTGCTGACAAGGTGGGGAGGCCTGGGAGCCCTCACAGCTCAACTGTAGCCCCTGGTTTCTGGCCAAAACTAGGCCAGGTCCTGATGGGAACAATTAATGAGTGAGCGTCTGGCTTGTTCCTTTTTCAATGTTAGCTGCTTTTGTGTACAAAGCGACCCTAGAGATTATTTAATCAAGGGTTCTAAAAATCTCTAGATCTTGCCAGAAATGAAAACATGAAACGAAGTGCAGCCTTGCTTATTGTCAGTTCACCTAGCCCCACGTTCTTGGAGCATCGGAAGCCACTTGTCCAGCGTGGCCTGCCCAGAACACAAGAGCCAGCTCAGCAGCTCCGAACTCCTCCAACAGTCTGTCAAGGCAGTGAACACCTCCGAACCCCCACACCACAAGGTGCTCCCCTAGGGACCCTGGAGGGTGGACTCCTAAAGTCACAAACCATGGGAAGCCAGCAGGACACAACAGTGACACTAACCAACGGCATCACCTCAGACGGCACTGGCCAGTGCCACCGAAAGCCAGCTCAGCTGTGCACTGCCTGTAAGGCGGAGTGGCAAGCATCGTTTTCTGTACCCACAATACTGTAACTTCGGACCACCACTGAAGGGCGATCACTCTTTCCCATCCACCCAGCTAACGCACCTTTCTTCTGTGCACTCCTCTGTTCCAGGCCCTGGGGCCCCACGTGAGTAAGGAGTGTCTGCTGGGTAGCCTACCTCCCTGCCCTGGGAAGTGAGCATTCAAGGACCTCTGCAGTCTTCTTGTAACTTTCAGTGAAGCCTACCCAACTGTTCATTCCTTTTTCCCCAAAGATCGTGAAGGCCAGGGATTCTTACGTTACTCTGCCAGCCTTATGAATAGGACCCAACTCCTCACTACATGTATGAATTTCCACACGAACCAAGGATCAGCAACGTGCCTGAGGACCTGGCTGGTTCTGGAGGGACTGTGGGGCCACTTCCTACGGAGCAGGACTACAGGAGGGAAGGGCAGGAGGAGAGCAAGGGCTCGTGGGAGCTCTAACCTGAGCTAACAGCCCCAGCCAGGCACTGCTGAGCAGCACCAGTGCTCTGCCCACCTGCCTCCGGGACCTTGTACTCCCTAACACAGCTGGGAGTCCTCCCCCGAGTCTGTGGAGCCACCACCAATACATTAGGAAAGGCTATGAGAAACCTGTTATTGCAAAAAGCTCCAGCAGGGAAAATTACCACTAGAAACATTGTATGTGTGCTGAGACTCAACCTGGACAGATCTGGACAGGTGTAAGAGTGGGCTTACACCCTGGCTGGGCTTCCCAAAGACTCTGCTTGGAGCATGGTGTGCCCACTGTCACCTGTGCGCCTGCCCGCCGGAGCAGTGGCCTGATCTTCTGGAATCCAGTGTCACGGCTAATGCTGTCCACGAAGTGAACAGAGCTCCCCACCCTTACCAACAGACCTCAGGGAAACGCTGTCCACCCCTGTGCTACTTACACATGCCGTTGGGCGCTGTGAGGGGCCCTCGGGGTCCTAAGATGTTTCCTGGCATCGGAGGCATACCAGGAGGGGCAGGGCCGCCCCCTGCTGGGTGGATGTTGGCTGCCACAGTGGGCATCATGCGGCCTGGCATCATGGAACCTGGGCCCGGCATCTGACCTGTGGAGAGGGAGAGTGAAAGTACTAAAAAGGTACTAGGCAGGGAAAGAAGAAAGGGATCAATTCAATCTTCACAATGGCTATCTCCCCGCAAAGGATCTGAAAAATCAACCAAAAAAAAAAAAATCTGTAATAGCTTTTTATTTACTTGTTTGGGGGACAGCTGTGCGGGAAGGAGCGACTGCTTATTCTAAACTCTGGCACAGGCAAGCTGCTGTTAAGCAATTACAAAGTGGGCATGGTGGTACATCCCAGGATCTGGAGGGGTGAGGCTGGAGGATTTCGAGTTTGAGGCCAGCCAAGGCAACTCAGTAAGATACTGAAAGGGCGAGGGAGGGAGAGGGACAGAGGAAACAGGAGAGAAAGGAAGGAAAGATCAGGCAATTGCAAGGAAAGCTTCCCTAAAACAAAACATTGGGTGAGCAGTGGATTGCCAGTATCTTCTAGGAGATGCACAGACCAAGAGGAACAGAAGGAGGGAGATCTGATTTGAATCCCAAAGTCCTATCCACAAAAACCTCTCCTGAGAAGCCAACCATGAAGCACTGGGAAAAGAGACAGAGCCATCTCTGCCTAGTGTTCTCAGATTCACAACAGCCAACCCCGTGGACAAAAACATCCCACTTCTGCTGTTCCCACAAGCCTTGCCTCCAAACCTCAGTCAACGTTTTAGACACTGCCGTCCACGCGGCGCCATCACAGCTACTCAGCCCTGCCGGCAGCACACTGAAGGCAGCCACAGACGTAGGGAAGAAGCTACTGTTGAGCTCGGAAGCACAGGCTTCTGGCTTGGAAACCGAAGAGTACCTCTTATGCCTCGTGATACAGAGAAGCCAGGTACCAGGACAGCCTGTGTCCATCAATGGGTACTCACTGTCTCTTTCTACCAACTTCAGCCTGGATAGAGCCTTCATCCAGCACTCTGAGAGGCTGAGGCAGGAGGATTGCAAGTTTGAGCCCAGCCTGGGCAATTTAGTGAGGCCCTGTCTCAAAAAACGGCTGGAGATGTAAGTCCGTGAGAAGGTTCCAAGTTTTAACAGCCCCCCCCCACATGCCAGCATGCATGCATAGAACTTCTGCCAGCCTCTCACAGGTTTCTGTAAAAAAGTGACTGTAGAGCTGTGAAGGGTGCTCTGCACAGCCAGTCCCAGGGAAGGGAGAAAGAAATGAGGAGGAACATTCCACACGTGTGCACATGTGACACAGCACATAACCATTATTAATTACCACCACCTCTACCACCGTCGTAGTGGGGACTGAACTCAGGGCCTTTGCATTGAGCTACACCTCCAGCCTTTCAAAAAAAACCTGTTGAGACTGGTTTCCCCTCAGTTGCGAAGCTGCCCAGGCTGGGCATGAACTTGTGATCCTTCTGCCTCAGCCCCCGAGACTGCTGGGAACCGAGGTGTGGACCAGCACTCGTCAGACAGATTTGTACTCTGCTGCTCGGGGTAAGTAGGGACGGCCCCCAGCCCTGGGAAATCCCAGCAGCCCCCTCACCAGGGACTGCCCTGCTACAGCAGCCTGGAGAGAGCACAGTCGCAATCTCACTGCTGCTCCACTCTTCCCACACGCGAGCGCTCAGGCAGGTTACTCAGGGTGCCCTGAGCCTGCACTCCCTCAGATACGTAATATCCAGAAAGCATAACCACAGAGCTTTCTCTGTGATCAGGGCAACTGCCTGTTTGTTATGGTGCCTTACTGCGTGTGTGTGTGTGTGTGTGTGTCTCTATCAAGTTAGACCCTAGGCTTCTGAGCCCAATTCTCTCCCACACACTTACTTCTGGCTCACACGACACAGCTCAAGAGAAAGGGCTGGACCGAATGGCTAGCGTTTAAAGCTCTGGTCCTACTGGAGAACCTCATGGGCCTGCCTGGGGGAGGCAGGGTGTGGCTCAGTGGTCTGATCCCCAACGCCCGAGAAGAACACAGAGAGGAAGACAGAGAGGAGAAAGTGAGCCAAAGAGAGCAGAGAGGCAGCTGTGAGCTCAGGATGCTCTGCACCCCAGGTGGGGAGCGGGGGGCCAGAGTACTCCGCCATGGTCCCCCTGCCGGGAGCACCACCTGGCTGGATACCGAGCTTCTCGTCCCCAGAACAGGGAGAGCACGCTTTCACTGCTGAAGTCACCACGTGTGTGGTAACTGCTTACAACCTCAGCAAGTGTCCACGGTGGCCTAGTGCTCTGGAGAAAGAGGGCAGGTCACAATGATTAGGCCACACACAGGGTTGCAGGGCATGGAATGGGGGCCTGCCCTGAGCGGGCGTCTGTTACCGGCCTGTGCCGACTCCTGGGGGACACGAGCCTCTGAAGGGGCCGCTTGAGCTCCTCTCAGAGCTACTCCAGACACAATCTGCCGCAGAGCAGCTGCCCCAGAGGATGACACCCCGTGGCCACGCCTGTCCATCCTGCAAAGGGGTGAGCCCCAGGTGCTGGCTGGCTGAGCAAGCAGTGCTGTTTCCCAAGCTCCCTGCTCAGGGCCACTGGTCCACTTACCTATTTCCCCACATCTTTATGATGGGAGCTAGGTAGGGCAGCTGTAGGGTTTTTCAAGGCTGTAAGACCAACAGCTAAAAAAAAACATTTTCCTTTTGCTTTCTGTAAATTCTAAAGTCTTTTCTGAAATGTGGGTTCTATACCCTACTGTTTCAGACAAAGTCATAAAGCCACTGAGAGCTGGGCTCTGAGAAGCTGAGGCAGATCAAGCCCAGCCCGGGCAACCGAGCGCTTAGCAAGTCACTGTTAAAAACTGAAAGTGTGTGTGCGTGTGTAAAAATGAATAAAGGGCTGGGGATATAACTCAAAAGTGACAGATATGGGTGTCCAGGGTATAAGACGACAATGGCTCCTTGGAAGGGGTGGCAGCAAAAAGGCAGAGCTGGAGGACAAACGCCCGCTTGTGCGGCTGGGACCAGGTATAGACACCCATCCACCTCCGGGCGGGCCAAGCGCACTCCAGCACAGAAGCATGCAGCTGCGCCACCCAGGGCTCACTGAGGTCACACGTGACAGCTCTAGGGACAGTGGCTCCGGAGAAGAGCCAGAGACGGAGGTGTAGGTGCTGCTGAGGGGGGCTCTACTGTCTACCAGGCAGTGTGACACTGACCTCACTGACAGCCTGGGACAAAGAGGATGGGAAAGGCTCAGAGTGGAGGTGAGGAAGCTAAGCCCCACAAAGGCTCTGGGATGTGTTCAAAGTGGCCAGGCAGAAGAGAGGGAGAAGAGAGGGAACCAAGACTCAAACTCAGGGCTGCCTGGCCCCAGGCTGATTCTCGACCCCACCCAACTTGAAAGGAAGATTTCTCCCCTTGGGAAAGGTGACTTCTAAGGACCCAACTTCAAATGGAGCAGCATTTTTTTTTTTGGTACCAGAAATCAAACTCAGGACCTTGCACTTGCCAGGCAGGCGCTTGTGCTGCTGAGCTAAACCCACAGCCCCGAAATGGAGTAGAACTTAAGAGAACTAGGGAGGGACAAAATCGATTTCCTGTACCTCAAGCCCTGTCCATCCGCAACCTAAAGCTTCTGCGGTTTCTGTGCGGCCACTCAGCTGCTCCCACGGCAAACGGACGGCCAGGCTGAAGGCGTCCACTCACACTTACTACAGGAGGCAGCAGGGCCCACACAACCCAAATGCCACAGAGGAGGCCTCACCAGGCAACAGGAAAGGTGTAAGGCTTTCCATTTAAAAAAAGATTCAGGTACTTCCTTCTTCAGTAGATAGGCAGAGGAGGGAGGTGAGAGAAATGTGGCTTCAAAATAGCAGCAGTAAAGCCCAGGACGGTGGGAATCTGTCCTACATGCAAGGTTTTTGCTTCCCCCCAAACAGTAGGCAGCTGAAGCCTGAAACATGAAAAGATGTGCTAAAATTAGGCTTAGTTAGTAGAAAAATCCCTCTACACTCTCTCAGGTTAATCAGATCTTTTACTAAAAAGCCTGGCACCCACCCTGTGTAATGGAATATTAGTTCTGGATCTGTCTTTCTTTGGGGCGGAAAGGGAAGGTGAGGGAACAATGGAGATGGTGGAGGAAACTGACCATCCGGTCATCAACCTGCATCTCCCCACCCACACCGCAGGCTCTGGCTGCATCCCCAGAATGAAAGTAACACAAGGCGGGCAGGTGTGGGCCAAGGAGGGGCCGGGCTGCGTGCAGGGCCCTCCTGGCATAGGTGCTCTTTGTGAGATGGGGCTCTGGGCAGCAGCTCGGCAGCCCAGGCAGGACCGATGGCATCGAAGGCCTCGCACACAGTGATGCTGGGCTGATACAGGCGAGGAGCCTTTCCCTTCCCACTGTGAGCTGAGTCTAGGGAGCGCAGAAGGCAGGGATGAGTGGCTAGAATCCTCTTCTCAGTACTATCTCCCATGGGTAGGCTGGGCCTTGTGCCAGTAGTTCTAAATAAAAGGTTTAAAAAGCCAGTCCCTGAGCTGAGCACAGTGGCCTGCAGCTACTGAGGAGGCTGAGGCAGGAGGATCATGAATTCAAAGCTAGCTTGGGCAACATAGTGAGACTCAAACTATTATTTATTTCTGTCTTCTGAAGACAGGGCCTTGGGCTAAAATTCACGGCAGTTCTCCCGCCTCAGCTTCTCCAGAGAGAAGATTATAGGGGTTTGCTGCCACAGCTGGTCCTGACTCCTGTTAACCCATTCATGCTAAAGACTGAAAATTTTTGAATTTTCCTATGAAATTCATATATATTACCTAGAAAAATTCAAGGGACAAAAATTTGAAAAGAACACATTTCATTACATTCCAGAGTTATGGATGTTTCAAAAGTGGATCACTAGGCATTGAAGGGTTAAATCTTATTTAACTCAATATTTTATTGGTATAAAAACTTCTAGTTTTATCACTATATACTTTCTTTCTTTTCTGGTACTGGAAATCGAACTCAGGACCTTGTGCTTGCCAGGCAGACACTTATGCCACTGAGCTATATCCCCTGCCCTAGTTTTATCACTGAAATAACAACATATTTACATTTTCATCACATCACCCC